GGTCCGGGGCAGGGTCGGGGCAGGGCTGCGACATGTCCGGGGCAGGGCCGGGGCAGAGCCAGGGCAGGGTCGGGGCAGGGCCGGGGCAGGACCGGGGCAGGGCCGGGACAGGGCCGGGGCAGAGCCGCGACAGGCAACAGGGCCGGGGCAGGGCCGCGACAGGTCCGGGACAGGGCCGCGACAGGGTTGGGGCAGGGCCGGGGCAGGGCCGGGTAGGGCCGCGACATGTCCGGAACAGGGCCGCGACAGGGCCGGGGCAGGGCCGGGGCAGGGCCGGGGCCGGGCCGCGACAGGACCGCGACGAGCGACGGGCCAGGGCGGGGCTGCGACGGGGTCGCAACGGGCGACGGGGCAGGCCCAAGGCAGCTCCGCGATAGGGCCGCGACGCGGCGGCTTCGGGCGACGGGGCAGGGCCGGGGCGGCGCCGCGATAAGGCCGCGACGCGGTGGCTTCGGGCGACGGGAAGGGCCGGGGCGGGGTCGCAACGGGGCCTCGAGGGGGGCCGCTATTGGGCCGCAAAGGGGGCCGCGTAGGGTAGGACGGGCCGCTAAGGGGCCGCGAAATCGAGGGTAGGGCAGAGCGAGAAGCGCGCTTCGGGCAGGTAGGAAACGGTGGGCCCTTAGGAAGGAACGGTCCCACTAGGGAACCCGCTCTATACCATGTGAAGAAACAGGAATGAATGATTGACTAGGAAATGAGTTGGGTACAAATGTGAAACCCTAGGAAGCTGTACCCCATAGTGTCTACCCCACTACAGCCTAGACAGGCTATGTGATTAATGTTTGACATATGTTACTTCGATTCTAGCTCTCATTAACAATTCGTCAGACAAAGTAACCTCTTCGCCATCTGTTGAAATGCTAGGCAGAATCAAGAAACAAGAAAGAGAGATTTTCACTAGCATGCAGTTCAGTACATATAGCAAACCCTAATTCGGGCTGTACTCGCTATAGAGTACCCCACTGCAGCCTACACAAAAATCACATTCTGACACACCCCCATAGTCAAAGTGGGGTACAATCAAAACAACAAGCAGGCAAAGCAGTAGTTCACAAGTATAAGCAAAGCTAGAGGCAGTCACAGAGGGCAAGTGAGGAGGAGGAGAAACTGTGAGGGCGAGAAGATGGGAGGCGACGGCTGAAGCTGCAGACACACAGGCGGCAGGAGTGCGCAGCACTGTCGCTACCAGGCTAAACCCGGACTACACGGCGACAGGCGCAGCTGGCTCACTGTGCTCCCAGGAGTGCACACACTGTGGCTACCAGGCGCAGAGCCCCGGACTACTCAGGCCACAGGGGGTCGTGGCTCTCTGGACTACCAGGAGTGCTCACACTGTGGCTACCGGGCGCAGAGCCCCGGACTACTCAGGCTACAGGGGGTCGTGGCTCTCTGGACTTCAGGCGCTGCGGACGACAAGTCGGCTACCTCCAGTCAACCTCCCCCAACTGTCCCACACCCCGTTCACACACTCCCTGCTGCACCTCTAGCACTGCTCACACGCCACCCCCCTCGAACGACTCCGACGGCTCCAACACATCCACCCCCCTCAGCAGGAGCTGCAGTAGTGGGAGACGGAGGAGGAGGAGGAGAAGGGGACGGCTCACACACACGACACCCCCATACTCTCCACCCCCAAACCCTAACACAGGAACGCAGGCAGCAGCTGGGGTGGGGCGCAGTCAGGAGCTCGGGGGACAGGACGGGCCGCTCACGGGCCTGGTGCAGCCCGTACGAACCGCGCGCGGGCTGCCCGAGCCGCGCGCGGGCCTGGCGCAGCCCGTACGGGCCGCGCGCTGGGCTGGCGCAGGCCGTACGGGCCGCGCGCGGGCCTGGCGCAGCCCGTACCGGCCGCGCGCGGGCTGTACGGGCCGTGCACGGGCCTGGCGCAGCTCGTACGGGTCGCACGCGGGCCTGGCGCAGCCCGTACGGGCCGCGTGCGGGCCTGGCGCAGGTCGCGCGGGCCGCGTCGGGCGACGGGGGGCGACGCGACGGTTCGACGGGGCAGAAAACCGCCGCGCGCCTCGGGGCGCGCGGCGGGAAGAAAAATCGCTGCGCACCCGGAGCGCGCGGCAGGCAGGAAACAGCACGCGCCCGGGGCGCGCTACAAGAAGTAGAGCAGCGGAAGCATCGGGTGGGACCCACCCACAGGATCGACCCAGGAGGGTCGACCTGCTCTGATAGCATGTTGAAATGCTAGGCAGAATCAAGAAACAAGAAAGAGAGATTTTCACTAGCATGTACTTCAGTACATATAGCAAACCCTAATTCGGGCTGTACTTGCTATAGAGTACCCCACTGCAGGCTACACAAACATCACATTCTGACACCATCGACTCGCCAGAGCGACTTGGATGGACAAATGTGCACTCTAAATCGCCACACAGCGATACAAACGACCCCTACTGGTTACACATGTACGCAGTCACGATGATCCACGCCTACTCCCGCTCAGATTCAGTATTTACTGCAATTGACAACACGACTGCAACCGAGTTCGAATGTGTTAAACAAGATGCTACAGTGACACGTGTAATTAGACGCGAACCCCTGATTCACAGCAGGTATGATCCACAGTCTGTTTGGGAACAACCCATCTACTATCTACGACGTGGACGGGAAACAGAAGGAAAGGAATCACAATTAACCCAATCTTCCCCAACCCACCCCCACACACTCCTCGGTTTTTTCCGATGTGGGTGCATGGCTGCGTCGCGAGCGAGGTGCGACGAGAGCGACGTAGCGTGATGCAGGATGGCAGCACACGGCAGAGTGACTTGATGCCGTCGTTACGAGGCATGGCGGCGCTCGGCGGTCGAGTCCTCCATGGATTCGACCATCGTGCGGGCTACTACTAGTACTGTCATCGGACTCACGAAGGAAAGGAAATGATGCATTCTTTCGCGCAGCTCGGTGCTGTGCGACTGTCACCTGCTCTTATATCCATGCACATCGTCCTATCGGACGGAGTATCGGAATCGACGCGACGCGGTAATATGGAGTATTTGTTATGGAAGATGCCTATGTCCGAGGTGCATTACTGTTGAGCTTCCCAATTGTGTTGCAAGTCTCCACTCTCTCAGGTTTGTTTTCTGGCTAGGTTCGGGTTAGGGTTGCTGGTGGGTAACACGAGGTTACATTCCAAACAGTAACGACTTTGCGATGTTCCGTATCAAGCACAGCGAACGTTCCTCTTGTCGCTTACCGCACGTAGACGAACTTTGTACTTCCCGTACGAAGAATTTCGACTTCTCACTTGGGCCGAGTTCGCTAATCTGATTGTTACTTAAAGCCAGGATCTCAAGTAGTTCAATTGTTTTGCAGTTGGTGAGGGGAGCTGGGCTGCGATTGGTTAGCGAGGTGAACAATCTGACGAGGTGTGAAGCGAGGGGTGCGAAGTAAAGACAAATCGCAAGTTCAGTCCGAACCAAGCAAGGCTCGGAAACTGGTTCGGTGACGAAGCTCCAATGCCTGCAATTTCTCGTCACACACAACAATCTCATGTACCAGCAAAATGTTTTGCATTTGCTCTAGGGGCAAAATCGTGGGTGTGCCGCACGCTCACTTTCCTAACCAGCCAGTCAATTCGCCTACAGAAATAGGGTAACAAGCGCTGCAAGTGTTTTGCAATTGAAGGCCAATTCTCTTATTTGAGATCCTGGCTTTAAGCCCAACATCCGCCTCGTGAGAACCGATCCGTGTGTTCGGAATTCGAGGCTAATCCCCTCCTACTCACCGCCGTTTCCTAGTAACCCTAATCTTAGTCTGAATTTGCGTCGCGCTGTACGAAATTCGGCACGTATAACGAGCGAATCGCGTTCCTCACTAGCGGATCCTCAAGCCCCCTCCGACCTGCTCGCACGCCGCCATCCCCTTGAATTGTCCGATCCCTCACCAGACCTGCTCTCACTCGGTTATCCCACCATCTAATCTCACGAGATATTCTGGTTACGCCACGTGGTGCGTCATGATTCAAGCAATCATGGTCTGCGGTCTCCCCATCCGAGGCTTTGATGCTCATTCTGCCATGCGAGGAGCGGAAAAATCGACGCGCAATCATTTCTTCCTTCCCGCGGTGCTTCAACGAGCGAATGCGGTCTTGTGTGGTACATTTCGTGTGATGTGCGGTTCGATTAACATATGAACTATTCGCGATTGCACGGATAGGCGTGCGAGGTGAAAGGCGAAAGGTTCGGATGGGCGTGGGGCGTGCGGCGCGAGCCACAGCGCATGCCATGCATGAGGTGCCATTCCAAACCTGCCCTCCCTCATTCATCCACCTCCTCCTCCCTCTTCTCCCTGATCCCCCCTCGCTCCCCCCTCTGAATTTAAGCTAGCAGTTATGTGCTTTACCACTTCTTCCGGAATCCGCCTGTCAGATCCCTCCTTCCTGGTAGATTTCGAGCATACTTCGTCTCCATATCGCCTTGTGCCATTGTTCCTTCTCAGAACCATTGTCCCTTTCGCCCTCGCCTGGGGAGCTCTGCTGAGAGGTGCCTAGTTTCCAACGGCCACCTCGTTGCTGCCGTCTGGCTCACTGCCACCTCCACACACCAGGTACGCACGGCTGTGCATTTGTGAGTGGTGCCCCACTTCTGCCGCTTTCCCTCCGTGCTCCCTGTCTTTGATGTGTCCTGTTCCTCCCCTTCCTCTAATTGCTGCTCATTTTGGATGCCTAATATACATTTCATCCCGTTTCAGCCCAACCTCTACCGTGGTTTTCCATGTCCAATCCATCTCGCCCCATGCTTCTCAACTTGCTGGCTGTCTTTATCACCATTTTGTGCTACTCTTTCTTGGTCAGCCATTCCCTTCGTCCTATTATTGCTGCGTTTTCTATTCACAAAGATTCTTGCTACCCACAAGCTTTTTGCCTTGTTCATTCTTTTTCATCCTCTTATTTGGCCACCTTCTCACTGTAAATTTCTTTGTCTCCTCCATCTTCCATGCCTCCGGTGTCTCATCCGCATGCTTTCTTGCACCCGTGGACACCACCTCCCCAGGTGCACCTTCCCTTCTCAGCTGCCCTTCCCCTGCTGCCGCCAAATCGTGCTTTAGCTTCAGCCGCTCCCCCAGTCTGCTCATCGCCCCACTATCATCCAGCAAGGTGGGTATCCACGCTTTGTTGTCATGTTATAACATGTTTCTCCCCTGGCTGCGGACCTTTGTCAATCCGCCTGCTGGCTAAGAAGCATGCTGCGATTGGCCTCGTTCTTCTTGTGCGCCCTTTCGCCCCCGGCCATAAACCATTGTCCGTCTGTTCCCATGTGTCGTGCTGTCAGTGCTGCCCCAACGCTCCAGCTTCTCTGCTTTGCTTTCCCTACTTCACCTGGCCTACGCGATCTGCTCCTCCTGTTCCACCCTTGCCTTGATCTGCACTTTGCATGTATTCTGTTCAGTTCAGCCCCTATTCGCCCCATCTGCTCCTCTTTAATTTTCTGCTGCTACTTGGCGTCTGTCACCAGATGTCGGTTGTTCTTTCACCCCTCACATCATTAACCAGCCTTTTGCTTTGTTCTATTGCCATAATGGTTGATGTATCTAAAACCATTGCGGTTACATGCGAAGCCAATGTTTCCCCACGATAAAGTCAATGTTTCCTTCCTCCTCCTCTCACATGCCTCCTGCATCTCATCCTTGTGTCTTCTTCCACACACTTCCGCAGCTGCCTCTTTCCTGCTGCCGCTATATCTTGCTTCACGCCAGCCGCCCAGCCAGCCTGTCGTCGCTCTGCCATCACCCTGTGAGGTGGGCATCCCCTCTCCGCCAGTGGCTGTTTGTCATCCTCTTTCCCATCTAGTCTTTCCACCCCTCGCCTCTTCTCCTCTCCTCGTTGCCTCTTTTTCCTGCCACCCCTGCTATCCTCGTTGCCCACTTCCACTTCACTGCACCTTCACTCCATGGCTGCTCCACCACCCCACCCCGCTTACTCCTTCCTGCTCCTGCGCACTTCTGCCCAGTCATGGCCATTCCTGGTTCGCCACTGCCGCTTCAGACCTCTTTATGTGCCCGTGTCTTCCAACCTTCAAACCAGTATCATCAAACAGGTTTTTCCTGCTTCTCCTGTTCATGCGATCTTACAACTCTCACTTGTTCCCCGTTCCTGAATGCTCCATTTGTTCCCATCTCTGGCCTCTTGCCTTGCGGCGTTCTTCCCTTCCCTTGCTGCTGCCGCTTATCCCCCCTCCTCCTTCTGCCGCCAATACCCTCCCTTCGCTGCTCCAGCCTCTTATCCCCTCTCTGAGCTGCCACCGCCCCCCTCCCTCGTCTGCTCCTGCTGCACCTCATTGTGCAGACGTACGCCTTGCATTGGGCTCGCTCCATGGCTCGGATGGCCAGGATGCTGTCAGGGTGGATGGTGCCTTTCATTCTCGGTGCTGCCATCGCTACACTCACTACCATCGGTGCATCCACCGCAGAGAATGTGTCATCACTGCCATGGCAGCGAATAGCATATGCGGTGCCTGATGCATGGGTGGTCGCTCTTTGCCATGCTGGCCACACCATGCCCACTCTCCAACATAGCTACACAGGTCTCCACGTCTTGGGTTTCTTGCACTTGTGCTCGTGACTTTCAAGATTGCCTTGAGTTGAGTCTCAACATGCACCTGTGATTTCCTTCATTTCCTTGTTGCCCCTCGCAGCTGCCACGCGATACTGAATGCCAGCAATTTAAGCACCCTCTCATGCTCCCCTCTCCTTCGCCCCATCGTGTAAGCAATAATGCCGTAATCTATACATTTGACTTACCTCTATGCCTTTTGCTCTGTAAGCAAGACTTCTGCCTCCATCGAAACGCCGTTTTCTGTGCGTGCTTTGCTCCGGTTTTTTCTTGAAGGATCCGTTTGGAATCAGCATTTAATGATTGCGCTTTGTTTTTTCCTTCATGCATATGCATATGCCCTCTTTGCATGGATGCATTTGTTGTCTATCTCGCAGGCCAATGCCACTGCCACGTGTGAGAATGCCACGTGCGGACCTCCCTCTCTCCACCATGCCCACGCTCTCAACATGCCGCTGTTCTCCCTCCACACCCTGGTGTGTATTGCGACGACAATGCTCCTTCACTGTTCACATCACCACAACCACAACCAACAGTTCCATAAAGAATTTGCACCAACCATCAGCTCCTTCACTGATTGTCCGTCACCGTTTTTTTTTTTTTTTTTTTAATGTCCTGCACTTACGCCTGTACTGTCCGTGCTTGCAGTCTCCGGTTGCGGTACATCTGATAATGTTGTATGTCACAATTTCCTCTTTTGGAACGTTGTTGTGGTGGATGGAGGTGACGCAAGAGCAAGTCAGAGCATGGGTGCAGTGCATATGAAGGGCGTGGCTATGATGGCTGGGCTGATGGTATGCCATGCTCGCTGCCTTCCCAATATTGCAGCCTGTCTTTCTGTCAATCTGGTCTCCCCGTCCTTTTTAAGCTCATTTCCGCTTGCCTTCAAGCCTCTCTCCCCGACTCTCCTTCCTTGCTTTACTCCGTGCTGCTGCGTGTCCCTCACCGTCTCTCATCCTCCTCCTTTCTCTTCCACTCCCTTCACCACTCACCCCCTTCCCTCCCTTTGCTGCAGAAACGTGGTTCCGTCCCTCTGCTGCACATCCCCATGTGAGCATACGCCCACCTACTCAAACCTGTATTTTCACAGATCTATATCTGTCAAGCCTACAGATTTCAGTCTGGTAGACTTGAATATTTTCAAACCTTCCTCGATAGCTATAATCTCCCCTACTTCCGAGTATGGTCTCTCTGCTCATTTCCACCTGCTTTCCTTCCTGCCTTCCTCTCTCTCTCACTGCTTGTGTGCTGCCATGTGCTTTCGCGTGCTGCCACGTGCTCCTGTGTGCTGCCATGTGTAGAAACCATGTTACTTCTAGGTTGTCAAGGGGGATGCAGAAAGTGGGTGAGGCTGTTGGGACTGTCATAACTAGTGCAGCTGGAATAGACCAATTGGAGATGAGAGTGAGGGCGCTTGCCCTGCAGCTGGAAGAGGCTGAGCGACGACTAGGGGCGGAGATGAAGGAGCACAGGGAGGCGATGATGCAGTGCAAGGCTGAGGTGGAATTGAGGCTGAGTGAAGGCGATCGGAAGAGAGCATGGGAGGTGAGTGACTTAGTGCGGTGCGGATCAGTTTCAAAGGGTATGTATTGATGTTTTTCAAGGCATGCGTTTTGACTTGTGGTCTTCTCAATCTTGTTCTTTCCAGAGCATCAAGTCAGCATCACAAGATACTACTCTGGCTTTATCGAGTAACAACGGCCTGTCAGACGCCTTTCTCTGCCACGTGTCCACAATGACCCACCTGAAGTGCATTAGCTTGTACGCTAGCTCAGGCTTCAGTGCAGAGGGCATCAAGCACCTCTACAGGCTGCCACAGCTGAAGAAGCTGGACCTCCAAAACGCAGAAGTGTCAGACGGTGCTTTGGAAGGCATTGGTTCCTTGACCAGTCTCAAGAAGCTTCATTTCTATGAGAACAAGGTGACTGATACTGGTCTGTCATACTTGACAGATCTGTCATCTCTCAAAGAGTTGTGGCTTGGTGGTTGCAAGGGTGTGACAAATGCTGGCATGGTGCATGTGGGGAGGCTGACAGGACTTGAGGAGCTTGCTTTGGATTGTACGGCAGTCACGGATGATGGGCTGCAGCAGCTGACTGCCCTGACCAAGTTGACAACTCTTCGACTGCCAAATGAGGATTTGATTCACAATGATGACGTGCGCAGGCGGATAGGCAGGCAAGGGGGCAAATGTGGGCACGATTGTCTGTACTGTAACTACTTAGAGGAGAAGAGTGGAGGCAAGGGTTGTGAAGAATAAAGGGAGTACATGGTGGTCGGAGTGTGGAAGGAGTGGGAGTAGTAGTGGTGTACCCATGAGGATGCATCAATCTGCTGGAGGGTATTGTGTTGGTTGGGCTGGGTGGTGTGCTGCTGCATGGACCTGTGCCTGACACACTCAACTCAACCTCTCGCAGGTCCATTTAGGCAAGATAGAACAGTTATGCAAGGGTAGGCATTCATGGATAGTCTTGGGTGCAATGTGTGTAAAGCAATAGCCCTTTATCGGCTCTTGAACAACGGAAGTATGTCTGATTATCTACACGTTGCCTGGGAATGAGGGAAAAAATTAAGCAGATTAGGAGAATGCCGGCATGAGTAAAGGGCAGAGGTCATGCTGTGTGCTGCATCGCCCACCCATGTTGTCGATTGCCTTTCTCCCCTTTCAACCTCGTGCTTGATAAGGGGAATGCTTTGAACATTCTCTCATACCCCCTTGCTCTCTTGCTCTCGTGCTCCCATGCTCCCATGCCCCTTTGCTCCCATACTATCATGCTCTCATCCTCCTATCGCTATAAGTGGACACATGTCTGCGCCGTGGAAGCAGTTGGAATTATTGTGAATGCCTTCTCAGCCGACGGTAGGCCAATGTGGGTGAATCAATTTCTAACCCTACCTTTCTTCTTCCATCCAATGATGCTGCTCAAACTTTTCTGCATTTGCGCCTTTGTCCATACGATGCTAATTCATTGATGAAAGATTTCGATGCTAATTCATTGATGAAAGGTTGAATGTGAGCACTTCTTTCCGGAGTGCAGTGCCTTTCTTGCTCTATGATATCTTCCACTCCCCCTTTCTTGCTCTATGATATCTTCCACTCCCCCTTTCTTGCTCTATGATATCTTCCACTCCCCCTTTCTTGCTCTATGATATCTTCCACTCCCCCTTTCTTGCTCTATGATATCTTCCACTCCCCCTTTCTTGCTCTATGATATCTTCCACTCCCTCTTTCTTGATCTATGATATCTTCCACTCCCCCTTTCTTGCTCTATGATATCTTCCACTCCCCCTTTCTTGCTCTATGATATCTTCCACTCCCCCTTTCTTGCTCTATGATATCTTCCACTCCCCCTTTCTTGCTCTATGATATCTTCCACTCCCCCTTTCTTGCTCTATGATATCTTCCACTCCCCCTTTCTTGCTCTATGCCCTCTTCGCCCTCGCCCCGACTCCCGCCCAGCAGCAGCAACACCTGTAACCGTGAGAGACCCATCTCATCTCTACCACCGGTCAAAATGGCGGCAGCATGGCCCCTCACGGCAACACACTGCTGGGCAGCATGGTGGAGCCGCCGGCTGCAGCAGCAGCAGTGGTGGTGGTGAAGTGGGTGCGGGAGAAGGAGGGAGGCGGGCGGGACGGAGGCATGAGGGGAAGAGTGAGGCAGCAGATTCCGCGGATTCCTCACATGCAAACATATTATCAACTCGCGTTTCCCACATCCATCCATTTCTTGCTTCTTCTAAAAAACCTTGATTTCCACCAACCCCTGTCCACTCCCCTTCTCCCCTTAACCAAAACCTCCCTCCTCCTTCCTCCCCCTCAAACCCCCCAAACTCCCCAAAACTGTAGTCATTTTGCCATTTTGGTGGGCGGGGAGAGAGGGTGAAGCAGCAGAAGGAGGCGATTACCCTCCTGGATGGCGTATGGCATCCTGTCAGACAGGTTCACATTGTACCCATCCAACAAAACCCCTCACATTATTCTCCCTTCCGTTGTCCTCCGTGATTCCCCTATTCAGCATCCATTCAATATGCAACACCACACCCGCTTCCTCCCTGCTCTGATCTATGCCCCTACCTTATGCGCCCTTCCCCAAACCCCCTCCCCTTCCCACACCAAGTAATCGTAAAGTGCCCAACTCATCGCTGCAACACAAAGCCGGGCAGGACGGCGGAGCCCACTGTTACTGACTCAGGTGATGAGGTGTTTTTGTTACTGACTCAGGTGATGAGGTGTTTTTGTTACTGACTCAGGTGATGAGGTGTTTTTGTTACTGACTCAGGCCAAAGCTCATCTATTGCTAACTTACTGTACATGCTTTGCACAAGCCCAAGTGCAGTGTGATGCTTGATGGCGAGCAGGTTAGTCTGTGAGTACTAATGTGGAAGGAAGTGCTGGGGCAGGTGTGCAAGCACACCAGATACCTAACCTCACCTTAATGCAAATCCCATGCCTTCTCTTCGCTCACGCCTATCACTTTATATGGTGCAGTTGTTGGATCTTAATCTAAAGAAGTAGCAATCACTTGAAGCTAATCGATGAGTCATGGTAATATACGGTATACAAGAGCAGTTTGCACCATGGCAGGGCAGAGAGAGATTATTGCAAGCGAGGTGCAGCGATTTATCGATCACATTCCACTACAGTCCAATCCTTCCAGCTCCTCTCGCTGTCTTACCGCCCCTGCTGCCATTCACAGCAGCTCCTGCTGGGGGAGGTGGTGTAAGAAGCGTTTAGGGGGGTGATTGTGGAGAGGGATTAAAATGGCAATCAGTCCATGGACATTGCAAGCAGGGGTGGTAGTTTTCGTCGCTCGCATCCCTCCATCCCAAAAATGTTTCGCCCAAAAAGCTCCGCCCAGGTTGTTGGGCTGAAAAAGTCCTTAGGATCGTTCAAGACTAAACTCTCAGAGCAGTGATGTATTTAGCGGAAGCTGTCAAACTTATATACATTGTGTAGGCTGTAGTGGGGTAGCCCATAAAGGGTACAACAAAATTAGGGTTAGTACTTGTACCCAACTTTCTGCTCAATCCAATCATTCTCGTTCAGTTGTTTCGACATGGTTTCAGAGCAGGTCCTTCCTTAGGACCGATTTTTTTTTACGGCCCACCACAGCGCTACCCCACAAGCTGCCCTACAGCCCTGCCCTACCTGACCCGCCGCCCTGATGGCCCGTCGCGCCGCCCCTTGCAGCCCGCACGACGCCTCTAGCAGCCCGCGAGCCGCCCCTGCAGCATGCTCGCCGCCCCAGCAGCCAGCGCGCCGCCCCTGCAGCCCACTCGCCGCCCCAGCAGCCCACTCCCTGCTCGCCTGCGGCCTGCTCGCCGCCCCTGCAGCCCGCTCGCCGCTCGCCTGTGGCCCGCTCGCCGCCCCTGCAGCCTGCTCGCCGCCCGCGTGCGGCCCGCTCGCCGCTCGCCTGCGGCTCGCTCGCCGCCCCAGCAGCCTGCTCACCGCCCACTTGCGGCCCGTTCGCCGCCCCTGCAGCCCGCTCGCCGCCCCTGCAGCCCGCTCGCCGCCCGCTTGCCGCCCCTTGCAGCCCGCGAGCCGCCCTCTGGTGGCCCGCTCACCGCCCCTTGCAGCCTGCTCGCCGCCCCTTGAGGCCCGATCGCCGCCCCTTGCAGCCCGCGCGCCACCCTCTGGCAGCCTGCTCGCCGCCCCTTGCAACCTGCGCGCCGCCCCTTGCAGCCCGATCGCGCCCCCTTGCAGCTCGCTTTCCGCCCCTTGCGGCCTGCTCGCCGCCCCTTGCAGCCTGCGCGACGCCCTCTGGCAGCCCGCTCGCCGCCCTTTCTGCTGCACCGCCCTGCTGGCCGCCCTAGTCGTGCGCCGCCCTGCCTTGATTTGCGCACTTCCCTCGTTCTCGCGCGCCGCCCTACCTGTGTGCTGCTCTGCTGTTCGAGCGCCACCCTGCTCTGCCCACTATAGCTTCTCTCAGTGTAATCACGTTTGATCATGGGGGCCGTCCGATCCAGTTTGATACGTGGCTCGACAACTTACAGCTGTACCTACTGAGCGATTCTAGAGACATCGTTTCGTTGTTTGACCACACGTATGGAGCCTCTCTCTGTGAGAAAGATAGACGAAAGAATGAATGAACTAGGAATGAGATGGGTACAAATAGGAAACACATAAGTGTTGTACATTCTAAGAGCTACCCCACTACAGCCTAAATAGACCATAGCAGATATAAGTTTGACACACCCCCATAGGCAAAGTGGGGGAGAACAAGAGGTCACAAGACCAGTCAAGAAAAGCAAAGCAAGCTCAGGGTGGATCACAAAGTCACCACACAGTCTGAGCACAAGCAAAGGGCCATAAGGCCAGTTCACATGCAGAGTTATATAAAGGAAAGCAAACAGTACAGTGAACACAACCTAGCAAGTGTAAGCATGCAGGTATAAGTATATAGAGTACAGTACAAGCAGAGTCAAGAAGTCAACAAGTGAGGCACAGTAGGGACAAGGCCTAACACAGTACAGAAACGCTGATGATCACAAGGCTGAAGTGCCTTGGTGAAAACATCAGCAGTGTTGGCCTGAGAGGCCACA